AGATCAAAAGGACAACCTCCGAAAAGATCATCCCTTGGTGTGCCACACGCCCCTACCATGCCCCAAACGAAGGTTTTTGTCATACACCAAGGGTGCGCACACCAACTGTATATACCATAATTCAAATGGAGATTTTAGGAGCACAACAAAACAAACCCTGAACCAAAATGCATAATATGTGATTTTTTATGATTTTTCAAAATTTTAATCTTCAAAAAATCATTAAAAAAAATATGCTCGTGCGAATTTCTTCCTTTTTTTTTTTTTTTGTGTGTTTTTCGTTCCTTTCATTTTTCTCTACCACCATGAGAAGAAATAGATCAAAAGAGCAACCTGTGAAAAGATCGTCCCTTGGTGTGCCGCACGCCCCTGCCTTGCACAAAATGAAGGTTTTTGCTTCACACAAAGGGCGTGCACACCAACTGTGCACACAAAAATTCAAATGGGGATTTTAGGAGAACAACAAAACATACCCAAACCCAAAATGCACTGTATGTGATTTTTTACAATTTTCCAAAGTTTTAATCTTCAAAAAATCATTAAAAAAAATCCGCTCGTGCAAATTGCTTCTTTTTTTTTTTATGTTTGATTCCTTGCATTTTTCTCCACCACCATGAAAAAAACATATCAAAAGGAAGGTCGTCCCTTGGTGTGCCACATGCCCTTGCCATGCGCTAAAAGAAGGTTTTTACTACACACCACAATTCAAATGAGGATTTTAGGAGCACAACAAAACCAACCCCGACCCAAAATGCATAGTGTGTGATTTTTTACAATTTTCCAAAGTTTCATTTTTCAAAAAATCATTAAAAAAAATTCGCTCATGTGAATTGTTTCCTTTTTTTTTTTTTTTTTTTTTTTTTGCGTTTGGTTCATTGCATTTTTCTCCACCACCATGAAAAAAAATATCAAAAGGACAACCTCCGAAAAGATCTTCCCTTGGTGTGCCACACGCCCCTATCATGCACCAAAGGAAGGTTTTTACTGCACATCAAGGGTTTGTGTTAGCGTATGTTAGTGTATGCCCTAGAAACCATTCGTATTATCGGTTTCAGAGCATTTTGTCTTGTATCAGTATATCATAAATAATAGAAGAAAGGGTTCTTCAATTCATATATATAAATTACTTCCTTTATTCAGTCATGCATTTAAAATAAAGTATGCATATGAATTGTCTAGATGATTCATTTAATCGGTAAATGAATTTATCAAAAAGTTCTCTACGGAGGCAATATAATTTGGGCAACTATATTGCATAGTAGGCATACTGGATGCCTCCGAAAGATATCATGAGTTGATATAAGTACGGATGACGATTATAGTCTTGTCGTTGGGGCATTAGTATGGATTAGCGGTTGGTGAACTGTTTTTCAAACATGATCGATTAATGACAAATCACTTGGAAAAACATGTAGTCAATGATTTATTGTTTGGTTATATCATTGCACAATGTAGTCGTTTGATCTGAGACATTATGGTCAGATCCGATACGAATGTGTATAGTTCATACGGTGTATAAGTACAAGACTAGTCATGTTTCGTATGATAATACCTATTTGGTCATGCGTTGTTCATATGCGGAAATGAACGATGGTCAAGAAGGGATCCATTGACTAGAAAATATAGGATCAGGAGTACTGCTAACTCCATCCGGATTTGAGTTTCTGGATGAACGTCAATAAATGTTGAAAATCAGAATCTCTGGCTAGAGTCTATTATTAGTCATACGAAAGCAAGCTTGTGATAACAAGTTTCGGACATATTGATCGATGATTAGGTAGAAGATCGAGTTTAGGATTTCGGCGTTCCATCAATCCGTACTCAATCAAGATATACAATGGAGGGACTTTACCTACATGGTACATATGATCTGAAAAGGGTTCAATGAAGTATTTCTTCATCGTGGTTTGGAGACTATGGCACATTGCTAGATGTTTACCATAGTTGTTGGGCCTTCGAACAGGTTTCCAAATTCATCCAAAACCGGCTTACGGCTAATCCACAGTGGACCTACATGGTCACACCAATTGCCTTGAGAAGTTAGAGAAGGATAAGAGCGAGAGATGATTATCCGAATAGGGCTAGCACCTTCCGAGGGTAATGACAAGATTTCTATTGTAATAGTTACATAGCAAATTATTTGTGACATTTTAAAGGTTAAAATGGTCAAGCAATAATTAATTGTATTTAATTATTATATATTGACACGTTAAGATAAATGAGATGAACTAAAATAACCTTTTAATAGTTAAAGGGCAAAAGGGTAAACTTATGGGTTGTTAGTGTAAACTAGTTTAGTTTACATAGGCCCTTGAATAATATTGATTATTCAATGGGCAAATTAATAAATGCGTGGGCTCTTTTTAGAATAAGATTTTATTGGGGCATGCAAGTGAAAAACAAGTAATTACAAAATGACCCATGTATATATAAATGCAAATGGTTGCATTTTAGGTTAAGTGTTCATTTGTTCACTCAAAAGAAAAACAAGCTCTCTCTCTTAGGTTCAGCCACTCTCTCATTCTCTCAAGGTGAAGTGTGGAGGATTCATACTTTTGAATCTTGGCTTCATCAAACCTAAGCACTAGGAGAAGGTATAATGTTTTTATGCTTTATTTACGGTTTTTGAATCCTATTAATCCATATCTTTGCATGCATGTCTTGTTCACATGCTTCCCATCAACATTTTCCACCACCTCTTCATGGTTCTTTCATATGGTATCAAAGCTTAAAAGCTACTTGCGTGTTGGTTTTGAGCAAAAGTCATGTTATTCCATGTGTTCACATGTTCATCATACAAGGTTGAGTTTGCATGTTAGTGCTTTGGTTCAAAAAATGAGTTTTCCATCCCAACTCTTTACATGCATGTCTCGGCCACAGCTAGATCAAAGGTAAATGTTTGTTTTTCATGTCATTCTCATGTGTTTTGAATGATAGTAATGTTGATAATAAGCATACCTTTGTATTGAATGAGTTGTTAGTTGGAATAAGCATGTTTGATGCATGTATATGATTCAGCCATCTCCTTACTTTGTGAAAATGTGTTTTTCATCTTGCTCTAATATGATTAGATGTGTTAAAATGTGATAATGTATGCATGGATGATGGTTATTGCATGAGATGTATTGAGAACTACATGCATGTGTTATGTTATGGCTTTCTTCTTTGTCATGTTCAGCCATGACTATTTTTTGGGAAAATAATACAGTCACCAACGGTAGTGCACCGAATTTGTGCACTGAATGACATGGCAAAATCCTGACCGTTGATTAATTTTAACTTAATATTAATAAACTGTCAGGATTTTGTTACGTCATTTGGTGCACAAATTCGGTGCACTACCGTCAGTGGCTGTAGCATTACTCCTATTTTTTGCCATAAAATTTGTCATCTCATTCATGCTTTGATGAATAAAGTTTTGGGAAATGTTGCATGATGATTTATTTGAAGAAATAATCATGCATGTTCATTTCCATGACTTTGATTAAATTGTTTATGCTTTGACATGCTAAAAGTGTTATCCTTTAATTTGACTAAAGTGTATTTTGTATGAAGAGTATGCAAGTGTTGCAAGTGTTTAATGGTGGAAAATAATGTTGGCATGAAGTTATGGATTATTAATTCATGTGATGAATTATGATATTATGTATACATGATGATGATAATTACTCTTGAAGTAATAAAACTCATTTATCTATGTCATGCATGACTTTTCTGAAAAGTCTTAAAACGATGTTAATAGTTAAATAACAAAATCATTATTATATCTTTGGGTGGAATATGACAAAATGTTTGTGTAATGATTCCCTTGTGTAATTGTTGCGTGCCCCAAAGTTATGATAAAGTTACCACATGCGTATATATAATATCTATTTATATATGAGATATATGTGTGTGTGTGTGTGTGTGTGTGTGTGTGTGTGTGTGTGTGTGTCTATGTATGTGTATGTTTTAAATTGTTTATATTCATGCCTTTAAATAATTGTTTATTATATTTGGTATAAATGTTTAATATTTACTTATGTGATGGATGAATATTAGATTAGAGGGTTGATCATGGGTGCCATTTAGTTTCAAAATATTCAAAAGTGTTTGTAATATTCTTTTATTAAATGGCTTGTAATAGTTAAATTTTATTTATTTATTTTAATCGGGCATGCATGCCTAAGATCCAATTTGTAATTGAATCGGCTAGACGGGAACCCGAAGAGCATCCGGATGACGATCTGATCAAAGATATAGGATTAGGGTAAAGTTTACCTTTAGGATGTATTTTCAAAAAGCCCAATGGTCAACCCACATGCTTTAATTTATGCATATATGTGATATGTATGGAAAGTTAGTTAAACATGGCATGTTAAAAAAAAAATTAATTAACTAAGGTTAAACCTAAATCTCCCCAATTAAAATTATTAAATCCAAGTCTCTCATTATGGGATAACTAAATTCTTTAATACAAATTTTAATATCCCAAGATTTCTATTATGTGAGGGATATGATCTTTATATTATAGAATTAAGTTAACCTTGTTCTTGGATGGATATTTTCACCTTGACCAAGATTTCTATTATGTGAGGACATGATGAAAAATGTCATCCTAAGAAAGCACAATGGTTTGGATTTAACTAGCCTAGGGTACCAAGAATTCTATTATGTGAGGTATCTGAAGCTAGGACAAGGAATATGGATCAAATCTTATATAGTGATATAAAAGGAAAATAGTTTCCCACTTATTAGACTTAATTGACCAAGAATTCTATTATGTAAGGTTAATTGAATTTAACAAGAAATTGATTCCCCACTAAGAAATTTAATCCAACGAAAATTTTCGGATCCTATCTAAGGGAGTGTAGGACTCGAATAAAATAGTGAGAGCTAATTTGATTATGCAATAAAAGGTTTAAAAGTACTACAAGACACTAATAAAATTATTTTTCTTTGCAGTTTCATCTTTGTGATATATAATAAAAAAAATGGCCATCAATGTTCTCCTAAGGATAATGGATAATAACATGTTAACCAGACCCAACCTTAAGGATTGGCTAAGAAATCTCATAATCGTTCTAGATTTCGAAAGGATTGCTTATGTCTTGGAAGCACCTCTTCCACTTGATATTGGACCCGATGCTCCACAAGCTGAGCTTAATGCTTTTGAAAAATGGAAAGAGGATAGTAGGAGGGCTAGAAATTACATGCTAGCCTCAATGAATAGAGAACTTCAGACTAAGCATGAAAAGGTTTCGAATGCTTATGATATCCTAATAGCTCTAGAAGAGTTGTACAGCAAAAATCCAAGAGTGGTTAAGTATGAGTTATGTGCATCCCTCTTTAGCATGAAGTTAAGGGAAGGGGTACCTCCAGATGATCATACTATTAAGATGATCAATGGATTAGGTCGACTAGATGGATATGGGGTGGTCATGCTAGACCGCCTCAAAGTGAATTTGATTCTACAATCTCTTCCTTCAAGTTATAAACAACTAACTACAATCTCAATATGATTGAGCAAAACCTCTCTGAATTGCTAAATGAGCTTCAAGAATTTCATAGGCAGAATGTGAAAGGGAAAGAACATGAGGATGTCTTTGTCGCCTCTACCAGCAAGGCCAATAAAAGGCCCAAAAAGCAACAAAAGAAAGGTCCAAAAGTTGGACCCAAGAATAAGAGCTTTAAGAAGCCAGCTGCAAAGGCAAAGAAGGCCAATGCAAAAGGAAAATGTTTCCACTATGGAGAAGATGGACATTAGAAGAGGAATTGTCCTTAATACCTAAACAGTCTGAGGAAAGGCAAAGGAAAAGTAGATACGAACCAATGTCTTATGATCGAATATGAATTAAGTGTTAATTCAGATAGTCATTCCTGGATATTAGATTCAGCAGCAACATCTCATGTTTGTATGTCTTTGCAGGTACTTCATAATATTTTTTAGGTGACAAAGGGCGAGATCATTTTGAGAATGGCAAATAGGGCACGAGTTGTAGCCGAGGCCATGGGGACTTGCCCAATAGGACTACCTTCAAGACATGTTTTGAATTTATTTAAAGTATTGTACTTTGAAAAAGCCACTAGAAACATCATTTCTATTTCTGCTTTGTGTAAAGCAGGTTACCATGTACTGTTTAATGGAAATGAACGTTCAATACATTTTGGAAATGTTTTAGTTGGTAAAGCTATGAATAAAAGTGGTTTGTATATCTTAGAACTAAATGACTATGCTTCAATCAATACCATCTCCAATAAAAGAACTCGATTTGAATCAAATCCTAAAATTCTATGGCATCATAGATTGGGTCATACAGGAGAGAGAAGATTAGTACAACTTGGAGAAAGTGGGATCATGAACTCATTGGGTTCTGAACCCTATCCAACCTGTGAATCGTGTCTCCAAGGAAAGATGACCAAGTCTCCCTTTAAGAATAAATGACAGCAAGGAATCATACATACAGATGTGTGTGGACCATTCAGTACTTTAGCCATGGGAGGATTTGAATACTTCATTACCTTTACAGATGATATGTCACGATATGGGTATTTGTATTTAATGAAATATAAATCTAAATCCTTTGAAAAATTTAGAGAATTCAAGAACGAAATAGAAAATCAAACTGGAAAAAGTATTAAAATACTACGATTAGATCGTGGGGGGTGAATACTTGAGTACAGAGTTTCAGGAGTTCTTAAAAGAAAATGGGATCATCTCACAATTGACTCCTTCCTATATACCCCAGCTTAATAGAGTGTCTGAAAGGAGAAATCGTACCCTCTTAGATATGGTACGATCAATGGAAAGTTTTACAAACTTGCCAATGTCTCTGTGGGGGTACACTCTTCAGACCGTTGTGCACATCCTTAATAAGGTCTTGTCTAAAACTATCCAGAAAACACCGTATGAGATATGGTATGGAAAACGTCCAAGTTAGAATTATGTGAAGATTTGGGGTTGTCCAACTTATGTTAAATTACTTAAATCTGATAAGCTGGATGTTAAATCTAAGAAGGTTCAGTTCATTGGATATCCTAAAGATTGTTTAGGATATTACTTTTACTTCCCAAGTAATCAAAGAGTTTGGATCAGTAGAAATGCGCGCTTCCTCGAGAACGATTTCTTGGAGGAAGGCGGTGTTAGAAGAAATATTGAACTCAAGGAAGAGTTTGAAAAGCCAAGAACCGAGATTGTTGAAGCTGGAATGTCCACTCAGCGAACCTCAGTATCAGATACTATGGTTCCAATGCGAAAGTCTTCTAGAATATCAAAACCTCCAAAAAGATATGGGTTCCTACATGAGCAAGATTTTGAATCTTACTTAGTGGGAGTAGATAATCATGGTGATGATCCTAGAAGCTAAGAAGAAATAATACTGGATAGAGATTCAGGAAAATGGCTGGAAGTGATGGATTCTAAGATAGAATCAATGCATGCCAATCAAGTATGGTCACTTGTGGATCCATTAAAGGGAATAGTTCCTATAGGTTGCAAATGGATCTACAAGAGAAAAGTTGGCAAGGATGGGGAGGTAGAGACCTTCAAAGCTCGACTGGTGGCAAAAGCTTATACTAAGAAACAAGGATTGGATTATGAGGAAACCATCTTACTTGTAGCTATGATTAAATCCATCCGTATAATGCTAGCCATCGCAACATATCATGATTATGAAATTTGGCAGATGGATGTCAAAACGGTTTTCCTTAATAGGTTTATTGAGGAAAACATCTATATGGAATAACCAATAGGTTATGTATCCTCTACTGAAAAGCATAAGGTATGCACGATCCATTTATGGATTGAAGCAAGCTTCAAGAAGTTGGAACATTCATTTGACGACATAATCAAATCGTTTGGTTTTGTCAAGAATCCGGATGAGCCCTGTGTATACAAATGGGTTAAAAATCATGCCATCACATTTCTCATATTATATGTAAATGACATACTTTTGATGGGAAATGACGTAGGCATGATGACAGAGGTTAAAGTTTGGTTATCCAAAACCTTCTCAAGGAAAGACTTAGGAGAAGCGACCTATGTCCTTGGCATTCATGTCTACAGAGATAGAACAAAAACGGTAATTGGATTATCCTAGAAATTATACATAGAGAAAATGCAGAAAAGATTTAGCATGGAGAACTCTAAGAGGGATCTCTTGCCCTTCACTCACGGTCTTTATCTTTCCAAAAAGATGGGTCTAAAGACTGATGAAGAGTAACAGCGGATGTGTAATGTCCCTTATGCGTCTGTCTTAGGCACCTTAATGTACGCAATGCTATGTACAAGGACTATCTATAAGTGTTATGAGCATATATCTGTCAAATCCAGGGGAGAAACATTGGTCGGTTGTAAAGTCGATCCTTAAGTACTTAAAAAGATCTAAGGATCTAGTTCTGAGTTATGAATATTCAGAATTAAACATTCAAGGATACTCAGATTCTGATTTCCAATCAGATATTAATAATAGAAAGTCTACATTAGGGTATATTTTTATATGTAATGGAGGTGTTGTTAGTTAGAAAAGTTTCAAACAGACAACTACAGTGGACTCCACTGCAAAAGTTGAATACATTGCTGCTTCAGAAGCAGTAAAGGAGGCTGTTTGGATGTGAAAGTTCATAACTAAACTTGGTGTGGTTCTGAACATGGCTTACCCGATAAACATGTTCTGTGACAATATTAGAGCTATTGCACAGGCAAATAACCAAGGGCATACCAAAAATCCAAACACATTCAGCGCAAGTATCACATTTTGAGAGAATTCATTGGAGCTAGAGAGATTATAATTCTGAAGACACCTTCAGTAGAAAATGTAGTTGATCCACTGACTAAGGCGATGACACTGAAGCAATTGGACCATCATCTTGAGAAGATGGGTAGGAGATACAACAACAAATAGCTTTAGTGCAAGTGGGAGTTTATTAGTGTATGTTAGTGTATGCCCTAGAAACTATTCATGTTGTCAGTTTCAGAGCATTTTGTCTTGTATGAATATATCATAAATAATAGAAGAAAAAGTTCTTCAATTCATATATATAAATTACTTCCTTTATTTAGTCATGCATTTAAAATAAAGTATGTCTATGAATTGTCCAGATGATTCATTTAATTGGTAAATGAATTTATCAAAAGGTTCCCTATGGAAGAAATATAATTTGGGCAACTATATTGCATAATAGGCATACTAGATGCTTTCGAAAGAAATCATGAGTTGATATAAGTACAGATGACGATGATAGTCATGTCATTGGGGCATTAGTATGGATTAGCGGTTGGTGAACTATTTTTCGAACGTGACCAAATAACAACAAATCACTTGGAAAAGCTTGCAGTCAATGATTTATCATTTGGTTAAATCACTGCACAATGTAGTCCTTTGACCTAAGACATTGTGGTTGGATCCAATACAGATGTGTATGGTTCATACGCTGTATAAGTACGAGACTAGTCATGTTTCGCATGATAAATCTTATTTGGTCATAGGTTGTTCATATACGGAAACGAATGATGGTCAAGAAGGGATCCATTGACTCGAAAATATAGGATCAAGAGTACCGCTGACTCTATCTAGATTCAAGTTCCTGGACGAATGTCGCTAAATGTCAAAAATCATAATCTCTTGTTAGAGTCTATTATTAGTCATACGAAAGCAAGTTTGTGATGACAACTTCCGGACATATTGATCGATGAACGGTAGAAGATCGAGTTTAGGATTTTGACGTTCCATCAATTCGTACTTGATCAAGATATACAATGAAGGGACTTTACCTGCATGGTACATATGATCTGAAAAGGGTTCAATGAAGTATTTCTTCATCGTGGTTTAGGGACTATGGCACATTAGTAGATGTTTACCATAGTCGTTGGGCCTTCGAACAGGTTTCCAGATTTATCCAGATCTGGCTCACGGTTAATCCACGGTGGACCTATATGGTCACACCAATAGCCTTGAGAAGTTAGAGAATGATAAAAGAGAGAGATGATTATCTGAAGAGGGCTAGCACCTTCCGAGGGTAATGACAGGATTTCTATGGTAATAGTTACATAGAAAATTATTTGTGAAATTTTAAAGGTTAAAATGGTCAAGCAATAATTAATTGTATTTAATTATTATATCTTAAAGCGTTAAGATAAATGAGATGAACTAAAATAACCTTTTAATAGTTAAAGGGCAAAAGGGTAAACTTATGTGTTGTTAATGTAAACTAGTTTAGTTTACATGGGCCCTTGAATAATATTGATTATTCAAAGGAAAATTAATAAATGCTTAGGCTCTTTTTAGAATAAGATTTTATTAGGGCATGCAAGTGAAAAACA